AAAAAAAATAATAATAATTAAATAAAACAAGCTGCTCTCCACGGATGCCGTGACTTGTACATCTCTTTGGGTATCTCAATTTTTCACGTCACCTTCCAGTGACGCTCGTCATCCTGAGAAAACAGGGCCTGGCTGGGATGGTTTTATCAGAAACAGTTTTAAAAAAAAATCTTCAAAACAGGCTAGTAAAAATCTACTTTGTACATTTTACACGAAATGTATTTTCTTTTATGGAATTTAAAGTTGGATCACTTAACGCCCCAAAACATCTTTCCTAATAGTGTGTGCAGCAATACCGAAGGCTCATACAACTGCTCTTGTAAACCTGGATATTCTGGAGATGGACAAGTCTGTACAGGTGACATTTTACCTCATTAAAAAGCAAATAGACCTTATTACTAGGTGATGTCTTATTGATATACACAATAGAAAAGACAATTACGAAATATAAAAAAATAAAATGGAATAAACAAAAGGAGGAAGACAAGTTGAATTGTACAGAAAACGTAGCAAATATAAATAAAGAAAAGCAAGGGACCCAATGGGAGTTTTAGAAATTAATTAGGTGTGAAAAAATAATCCCACGTACCACTCTTTGGCGACACATCTATTGAAAGAGTAAAGATAGTCGAGCGCAGGTGACTGTTGTAATAACAACAGATCCAACAAGATGAATCTTGATAAACTGAAAAAAAAAATTCAATAATATATATTTAATTAAATAATAGTTTCTATATTTCAGAACCCAGCTTTTCAAAGGGTGAATAACGTGATTAACCAGATAAATCACTTTTCTTTTACACAAAACGATCTACACTGTCCACTGGCTGTGATTTATCCGGTGGATAGTGTTACCAACCCTTCGAGCAACAGAGGCCAGTTCTAAAATGATACAAGAAACGAAGTAAATTAGTCTGGGCATCCTGTATATTGACTTTTCTCTCTCTATGTTCTATCGCCTGAGTAGTAGTTTTCTACCAAATTCTATTTTAAATCTATATCATTTTTGCATTGCCTTTTCACTGATGTAGTCTTGTCATGAAAGGAGCTTTACGCGAAAAATTTGTAAGTGAAAACATTTTTTGTTTTTAATTTACCGTTTTCACAATAAGGGTATATATTAATGTAGCTGCTTAGGGTAAGGCTTATTAAGAAGTTTAATTTGTTCATTACGTAACTGTTTATCTTAGTTTGTCTTGTATTAGTCGTGATCATTCATGGCTGTCCAACAGTCAAGATTGGCCTACTCATCTTTCCCCAGTTCGTTTTGTCTAAGTTCTCGAGCTTTGAACAGCTGTTCTCGCGTTGCACGTAATTATGTTTTGGCATTCTTGCTTATCTTGATTGAAACCACAGCGAAGGTTTAAGTTATGCTCAGATTTATTTAAACGGTTATATTCCCTCACATTATGTCCATTCGCTCATCATCATTAATTTCTCCACTGAACCCGTTTGTGTGTCTGGTTTTTGCCTAAGTCAAGCCACTGATGTCTTTAGCTTCGCGGGTTTTTTTTTTTTTTTTTTTTTNGCATCAAGACATTTTATTGTTATACTTTCATTTGTTTGGTTTTTTTTTTTTTTTTTTTTTTTTTATCATATCGTAATTAGTTTACTATGACACTGCAAGGTTTAAAAACAGTTTAGTGGGCGGATTAAATCCACCTTGAATTTTGACACAGTTAAGGTGATTCAGAACCCTTAGGGGATTATTTCTTTTTGACCACTCTAATCATTATTTAAAAAACTGTCCTCAAACAAACGCTTTTTACAAACTTTACTATGCAAAAAAAGTACAAACACATAACATCATTAAGTTCGTTTCCGGTTCTTTGACTGTTGAACTAATCCAAATCCACAGGACCAACCAAACTAATCCTCATTGTGGTCTTGGGGCGTGCGGAGTGGGCCCTTGGACGCTTGTTATGAAGATTGACGGCTCAAAGGTTATTACGGTATTCCTGAAAAGAGAAAATATATGTGTGCAAGGTTTCGGTAACCTAAGGACAGATAAGAAATGTTGATCGGATCGCATCGGACGATGTATGATATTCGTAATCTGGGCTAATGAAAGTGAGGGAACTAACCTTACGATCACACGATACGGGACGTCTGATGCCCCTTGGTTCAAACTGCTCGCTCTGCTACAATGTTTTTATATTACGATTGGTAATTATTGTTTTCTCCATATCTCACAAGGTATGCAAAGAAAACTCGATTAAGTCTCTTCCTAGTTTAACAGGAAAATATTATTCCGAGCTCCTAAGGCCTTCAAATATGATATTTTCCATTTGGTTTCTTTTCATTCTGCATAGCTCTAGACACGGGCAGCTTGATAAGTTAAAAAATTGGAAGGAGTGAGTTTCTAAGGGTTCAATATGGAGGCTGAAAGCGTTTGTTTCATTTGAAAGAAAATAGAACGTTTGACTTAAACTAGTGCTGTGTTGCACGTTCTGTGAACGTTTGTTCTGGCCTCCTGTGCTCTGACATTGAAACTTTCAGCTTCTTACCGTCTCTCCGTAAGTTTAAGTCTGATTATGGATTTTGTCGTTTAACATTATATGTTGTAATAAATGTAAGTAAAATATCTTGTGTAGATATACATACTCTTAAAACATTTTGTCTCTCAGGGAACCTTTCACTATGATTCTGACCTTTGGAGCAACAATGAAGTATTCAATGTTGAAGGAGAGCAGACTGTATTTGACACACAAGAGACCAAATTGACGACCTACTGGGACACAGGCTTCACCAAGATCTGTCTCGGGATGAGGATCCACGGAGAGGAGAACATTAATTTTCTCGTCATAAACCATGTGGCTGACTCTTTGTACTCGCTGATCGCTGACGGACAACATCGTGCCACCTCATTGGGTCGTGACACATGGAAAACGCTTATTGGTTCCCAGGCCTCCCTACAGCTCAATTGCAATGTTGAAGGTTTCAATACCTTTTGTTCAGGGTATGATTACTCCAGAGCAAGAATTGGTTTTGTTAGCAACAATGAAAATGATTGCAAGTGGTGTGATTCCAGAATCGGGTTTGGTACCGGGGGATATCCTCAGCACCATATTACATGTGGAAACGTGGCACAGCACGAGTCAGATAATGGAAACCAATTTATTTCAGCGATGGATTACATTTTTGTCCTATAAAAAATAAATTCAGCTCTTAAACGCGGCATGTTTTGGCATGCTTGTCGAGTAGTGCTCCGGTTGATGAAGGTTATTCTTACATGCCACACTCCTGGGAGTGTAGACCTTTGTAATAGGCCCCTTTAGCGACAGACGTCGCCGGCCTGACGACGGCAACCGGAAACGTGACATTTCTTTCGAGACGTCACTGCGCATGTACAATACGTTGTGACCTGACGTTGCCCTGAGGTCGAGAACGTGAGAACGTGGAGTTTCACGTCGCGACGAAAACGTGAGCACTTAATCTCTTGTTTTGATACCTTTTAGCTTACTTTTGTGCTACTTTGGTGCCGAACCAAGGTAAAGTTGCATAATGATTGCCTTTATGTTTAAAACAATGTTCTGGAAGTATTCCTGG